GTTCGTCTAATATATATATATATATATAAATAATGCATAGGAGAACCTGGTTCATTCAAAGAAGCGAGAAACTAACCATATGTTTAATGATGGTAAAAGAGATCCACAAAGCCTTCCTTAAAGTCCTCTCCCCTGATGAAGTCCTGAAATTAAGAGTCAACTCTTCACAATACACGCATATTACATATAAAAATCGCAATTATTAGAGTAATTATGAGACATCATCTCTTGAGCATGGGATCGATTCATAGAATAATGCAAGTCAACATGGATCACTAAAATAAATCTTATCTTTGATGTATAACAGTCACGAAATGATCTTTTTTTAAATTTATTTACACCAATTCAACGAATGCTCATAGCCACCTTCCCCTTTAATTAATATATATTAAGTTGAACTCACGGGCTTCGCGTAGAAGTTACCTCTTTTGTGTGCATAAAAAGTCTCAGGCATGCATGAAAAGTGACCGTCTTGTTTCTGGGTCATTAGAATTTGCAGAGGCTGAAACACAATGACGACACCAATGTCCGAAACAAGGTCGCCGTTGCCTTTGCTGTTCCGGCGGCACTCAAGTGGCGAAATAAAGAACTTGACGTCGGTTTCCAGCAGCCTTTTGCCGGCGTTTGGAACTGTTGTGACCGATGGATACTCAAACCTGAACAAGTTCATTATAGTTCCGTATGATAGAAGATATCGGTGAGTCAATTCAACAACTTGTAGATGCAATTCTAAGAGACAATATAGTTTAAATTTGACACACCATAAGTACTTTCATATCTTAGTTCTTAGTTTCTCTGCTAATAAATTTGATCCTACCGGTTGTGTGATAGGCCCGTGATCCAGGATATTCATTATTGAATTTTTTTTTTTTTTTTCTTGCCATATATGAGGATGAATTTCATTAGCTGTAAATGAAAGAACACACAGTATAAATGATTTTTTTTTTTTATAAGAAGTATTGATATATGAATAATTAGAATTTGAAAAACAAGTCAAAAGCAAGAATTTGTCTTACTTGCTTTTGGCGAGAGAAAGGAGCGGACCACTTTGGTTGGGCATTTTGGAATATGAATGATGATGCAATGCAGGTGGTGGCAAACTTTCCTGGTAGTGCTTGTGGTGTACTCAGCGTGGGTATCTCCCTTTGAGCTTGCCTTCAAGAAAGTGGCAACTGGGTCTCTTTTACCCGTTGATTTGGTGGTGGATGCATTCTTTGCCCTTGATATTGTCTTGACCTTCTTCGTGGCTTATTTGGATAAATCCACTTATCTCCTCGTTGATGATCATAAGAAGATTGCTGTACGGTATGTTCATTTTGCCCATTCCAAGTAATGTTTTGGTTTGGGTTTCTTCTTCCATCTACTTCTTCTGAAAATTGAAATTTTCAAAAGTGGTTTCAAGAGCTCAAGGGGAAACAGTACAGTTATACAATAAATGACAATTTAGCACAAGACGACAACTGCACACATGTAGAAGTTGTAACTAGAAGGCATTAAAACAATATGATTACTTTTCTGACGAAAAAAAATTATTTTTAATACAATAAGAGGTTGAGAGATTGAAACCTCTAATCTTTTGATCTAAGATTTATCGTGACAACTTGAATTTGATAGGTTGTAAATTGTAATCGGTAGAAAATATATATACAAATATGACTTGGGTGAATGGTTAGAGCTAACTATTTGCAGTGCGAAATGAATTACTGAAGCAAATTTCAGAACAGCTATTAGATTAATAGAAAATTATGTGTTGTTACAGTTACCTTACAAGCCTGTGGTTCCCCATGGACGTAGCCTCCACTCTTCCATTTCAGGTAATATACAGAATTTTCACTGGAAAGATGAACCGCAATGAGGTCTTCGGTTTCCTCAACTTACTTCGGTTCTGGCGACTAAGGCGTGTTAGTGAACTTTTCTCAAGGTAACAAGTTGCTTGCACTTCAATGTATAACGGAAGTAGATTATTTGAAAGTAAAGATTTCAAAAATTAAAAATTCATTTTCATGCTACTTACATATGAAATTAAAAGGACTTGGAATGTTCAGCTCAGAACTAATCTAACTGACAAATTGTCTCAAATCCAGGCTGGAGAAAGACATACGCTTCAGTTACTTTCTAACAAGACTCGTCAAACTAATTTGTGTAAGACTTCTTTCCAGGGATAACAAACTTACTTGTAACGTTCTACTCACAGACCACTGCTTAAGTATAAGTATCTTTGGGTTGTTCTCCAATGACAGGTTACATTGTTGGCAGTTCATTCAGCTGGTTGTTTCTACTACTGGCTGGCAATTCATCATAAAGATGCAGAAAATACATGGATTGGAATTGAAGTAGAAGATTTTAAAAGCAGAAGTATCTGGCTTGGCTACACCTATTCAATATATTGGTCAATTGTCACACTTGCTACCGTTGGTTATGGGGACTTGCATGCAGTTAATCTAGGGGAGAAGATTTTTAGCATCTGCTACATGTTATTCAACATCGGCCTCACGTCTTACTTGATAGGAAACATGACAAATCTCATCGTTCACAGTGCTATCCGAACATTTATCATGGTAATTTATCCTTTTGCTCTATGCACTCAATCTAGTTACAGGAACCGGTCTAACATAGAAAGCATATTATTTGTGATGTGTCTACTGGCAATGCAACAAAAAAATGCTACTGCACGAATCTTACCCTTTAACTATGTCTATGTTTGGTAATAATCAATGGTTTCCAAAACAAAGCATGGTATCAATAGAAAACATAATTTTAAACCTGGAACTACTAAATTGACTAATTCAAGATCACCAAATGCCATCTTTTTTCATATTGCAAGAAGCAATGAGTAATAATGGACTCCTTTTACTATTAATATTCTTGTCTTAGAATTACGGAGCATAAAAACCATTTGTTAGTGCCATGTCTCATTCTAAGTTCTCTTTCAGCATTACACTTTATAATAAATGAATTGCATTGTCACTTACCAGAGGGATTCCATAAATGAGATATTGCGTTATGGAAGCAAGAATAGACTGCCAGAAAGCTTGAAAGATCAAATGTTGGCGCACATGCAGCTCAAGTTCAAGACAGCAGAGTTGAAGCAAGAAGAGGTGTTGGAGGATTTACCTAAAGCAATCAGAACCAGTATTGCCCAGCACCTTTTCCGTCGTACAGTTGAGAATGCATACTTATTCAAGGATCTATCTAACGACTTAATCGCCCAATTGGTAAGAGAACTTTTTCCCTGTTCAAGAGATGACGATTTCACAAAGAAAAAAAAAAAAAAAAAAAAAAAAAAAAAAAA